GAGGCAGGATCAATCTCGAAGAAACCTTCGCCATAAATTGGGAAAATGCCTAAAGTAGCGTTACGCCTTTACTGCACTGCATTTTCCACTGCACGCCTGACTGGGTAGCATTTCTGTATCGGCCTCGATGATTATCTCAGTGGTTCTGTTGTTCATGTACGTTTTAAGGCCCATTATCTTAGTGACTGAGGCACTGGCGGCTTATTATGTGAGCATGTTCATTCAGGTGTATTACATTGGCATGTCCTTTCAAGTGCATTGCATTAGCATGTCCCCTCGAGTGTATTGCATTAGCATGTCCCTTCAAGTGTACTGCAGGGATCATGGACGAATTTTGTGCCCACTGTGCCGCCCTGGTTGGTGTGTGGGTGAATTGCCCCGAGTGGTTCAATCTCGACATTTTGGACTTACCGGGTTTGATCGTAACATTTATCGGGATGATGCACCGACCTGTTCGAGGCTCAATGTAGGTATGGGTGCGGAAGCGTGGCTATGGAACTTTTATGATGTCACGCGCTTGAGGTTATGTGCAGAGGAAACCTATTTCTTGCCAGCCTCTACGACCATAGTAAGTGTTCAAAGCACAAAGGTGCTTTGCGCGAAACATCACGAGTTCAGACCAATCAACTTGTTTTGATTCCTTAAAGCTACGTGCTAATGAACTTAGTTTGCTCTGAATCGCCATGGTGGATCACATCATGACCAAATTCAAGTGTTGATGGAGCGCATCTGAGATGTTTGCATTTGTGATCATATTCATTTTCTTCGGTTTGGATAAATCTAATGCAGCCCTCAACTGCACATGTGGACAACCAGGCGTCTCAAGCTCTAGAATCGTTAATGGTGTGTGGAAACCGGAAAGAACGAATTTCCATGGATCGCCCGCGGTGAGGTAAGGTACATGTGGATGCCATCAGTCTGGGTCAGTATGTGATGAGAGACTTCGAAACGTTTGCGTTGATACATGCGACGTGCTTACGCATGCTTTGGATGCAGCTTACCGTACCCAGCACCACCGGCTTCGCGAGTCCACGCGACGAAGAGAAGCGACTTCTCGTAGATTTGCTTACCGATCCGCTAGAGCAAAAATGCTAAGGCGGAGCGCGTTGTGAACGCAGCTTTTATCTTTTACCTTGTGACAGTGGTTCCGTGACATATTTAACGTCAACATTAAAAGTTTTCCCTGGGGTGGTTTTGATCTTGTATGACGTTTGCAACGGTCACGGGCCTCCATAATGTTCATTACCCCAACCATTATACATCTCCAGAACCAGTAGACAAGAACGTGTCGCGCACACATTACCAAGGCGGAGCGTAGGGTGGCGCCGGCTTTCCATATTTGTTTCCATCGAAATCAGAAGCTTGTGGACCTCATGCTGAGTGTTTCAGTACACTCAAGAATCCAATGCAGCTGATCGTCCGGGGTTGGAGGTCCCACGTGGTTACCTGAGAGCTCGGGGTGTCTCAGCTGACGCGGTCCGGTGTGATGTGGCGCCTCACCTGAGCGTGCCTCGGTTGGCAGGATCAGACATCCCCTCTGGCGACGATCCCGAACCTGCCGTACTGCTCGGGCAGCCTGGTGTCGGACCGGTTCGTGCTCACCGCCGCCCCACTGCCTGGCCAAGCTGCGCAACGAGGACTCCTGGCGGCGCAGCGAGCTCGTGTTCGGCATGCACTGGGCGCGCAGCGACCCGCCCGAGGTGCAGCTGCGTAACATCAAGAGGTAGCGTCCGGCACACGGCAACAGGGGCCGCGCCACAGGCCGCCAGCTGGTGACAGCTCGCCCGAGCTGGACGCTAGCGCCGTAGTGGAAGCGCATTCCTTGGATGCCTATTTCCTTACGCTAAATAATCCTAGATGAACTTGCATTAATGGTTTATTAATTCCTGTACCAACCGCAATGGACGGCTGCACACATCTTTCACCGAATTCACGATGCAAGTCGTGGAGCAATCAAACAATTTGATGTCCCTGTTAGCTCGAGCATAAATAATCAATAACACAGCTGTAATACGTATTCAATTGGTATTTGGTATATTATCCTCATATCCCGAAGAGTTTTCACAGGGCGGTGATGAAGGTGCAGTATCAAGACACCAACAAAGATTACGACGTAGCGCTGCTGGAGCTGGACGTGCCAGTCGAGATCAACAAAGTCATCTACCCATATGTCTACCCTATAACCTCAAGTGAGTAGCGAGACGACGAACGATGCAAACCGTCAGTGACGACGCGTCCTGCATGACTGGCTTGTTCATTGCGCATAACTCCACCATTGCATTGCCAAGTTTATGAAAAAGTTACGTGTCTTGATGTGGTTGCAGTACCAACGCGAGAGGTCGAATGCTGTTTCTACAGAAGCTACTTCCACCGTCAATGTGTGCCAGCTTAACCACAGTTTGGTGCGGATGTCGCCGGCAGGTTTCCCGCGAAGAACCCGTGGGTGGTGGCTGCGGGCTGGGGAAGGACCCGTACGCTGGACGTCAGTCCGAAAAACTCATGAAGACCAAGGTATCTACGCAAAGGAATGCCAAACACAGTAACATCGGTCGGGTCCTCGCGTTTGTGCAGCAGCTTTGGGAATTTTCCATTGCAACCAGGTCGAGGGTGGTGTGTATGTGCGTTTGATCAGCCATACTGATAGTGACGCCATCGAATGGTGCCCGTTTCCGGTGAAGTCCATTCTGTCCTTGCCGACGGCGTCCGTTTGGAGGAGCGCCGTTGGTCGGCTTGTGAGGGCAGTGTTTTCTGCGAGTCTGCACCGCCGTAGTGGCGCGTGGCCGCGAGCACCAGCAGCTTGAACCGTTTGCCGTCAGTGGATGGAGCTGGTGCGCTGGGACACGTGCGAGGCCCAGGACCAAGTACCGCTCCCGCAGTCTGCTCACGGAGCGCATGCTGTGTGGCGGTCTCCGACCTCACCGACCGCTGCCTCGGCGACTCGGGTCAGTCGGCCGGGCCATGCCCCGGACCGGTAGCGGCCAGTGCCTCCCCCCCCCCCCCACTGACGACAGTGGGGGGTGGGGGGACGTCGATCCCAGCCAGGCAGAAGACATGCTCCCCGGCCCGTCGTGATGGATGCGTTTGGCACACGACACAGCCGGGCGCATTTGGCGTGAGGAAGCACCGACATGGTGTGACTGGGAGCAGTCATCTGGCTGTCTTTTTAAGCGTCGTTATCCGTATTATTGGCGTGATGGACGCAGACGCCAGTCACCGCACAGACGGTGCTGATGCCAGCACACCGGGCCTACCCCAGCTGTTGGGGCGACATGTCCTCGTTGTCCCATGCGTCAACGATAATTAAAATTAAAAAAGAATGTCTGAAATGAGACGTCGGGCTTATGCAGTCTTCAAAACACTACACTTTCGCACTTTGCAAAGCTTTGCGTTCCACGCGTTGCTCAAACGCTTGTAAAATGTCACTTAAGCCCCCCTGTTGTCATTGTAACTTCGAATTTTCCGTTGTCAGCTCTGACTGTTTCCTGTGCCCTCAGGCGGACCGCTGATGTACTACCACCCTCAGTTTTACCGCTGGTTTCTGGTCGGCGTCACCAGCTTCGGCTGGGGCTGCAACGAGGTTAACGACCCGGGCGTCTACACCAACCTCTTCCACAAGGACATCTTGGGCTGGGTGACATGCGCGAACACAGGCGAAATGTGCAAGGCCTAGCTGAAGAGCGCTGGAGCCGCAGGCGGCCCGACGCGATCCGACGATCCGCGGCTGAGGAGGGGCGACGGCCAAGTCTGGAAGCCCGCCGCAGCATGGGCGGGGCGCGGCCCGCGGCGGCCGCCCGTCACAGCTCCCGCCCGAGTTCTGCCGCTGCCTCCCCACCGCTGGCAGACGCGGCTAAGCTCCGTGCTTCTCGGTAGCTCTAATGGTAATGGTGTGTAGTGGAGGAACAGGGTGTTAGTTGAAACAGTAACAAATCTGTCATCGTACGCAAACTGGGTACCCTGAAAACGAGCATGTTTTTTTCTCAACTTCTGCGCTCAATGCATCGGCCTTCAGAGCCCACCACATACGGTTTTTATCAGCTTGCGTTACCAACAAAATCGTCATTGGCATCAAGTGTATTTGAAAATATATACATATACATTAACGTATCTACGCCGCTGGCGGGTAGAGATGTGGCTGTAACAACGGTCAGACCGGCGACGGTCCATCAAAATGAGACACATGTAATATACGGTCAGGCCCATGAGCGCAGGACGGACTAGTGCAGTGAGATCACAGCAGCTGAACGGTGATTGCATCTTCATACGGACGTCAGGTAAACACACGGCAAGCACGCGCAAATAGACTACTGATACCACATAATGCTTACCAGATGTCAGGGATGGTATTCTATCTACGCAACCCACATTTTTCCGGGATTCTGGCGGAAAGAAACAATGAACAAATGTGACTAGGACAGGGGTGTATACCACAAGCGTTCGTATAGCGGTGCCATCGAGGGTGCCTACGAAACACTGAACTGGGTCAGCATGCCCACGTGTAATGTATTTAAGGCCACGATCGCATTGGACGGAGAGATCATGTGTGAAACGTTTAGACCTTTGCATTGACGATTACGCATCGTGTCAGCAAATAAAACGCTGTTTACAGCTTGATATGTAGCTTCGGCCAGCAGCAATATCACTGTTTTCCCACTTCCCCGTGAAAGAACGACATCACCTGCTTGAAACTCTGCCTGCCTGCATGTGAGCCAATCCAGCGCGTCTCTCTGGCCCCAGACTGCAGTGGAGGTCTCGCGTCCTCCAAGTCCAGGCACCCAGCATAAATCTCACGCAAATCGGCAACGTCTCACCCCCGTCGACGGTTTACACACTTCTACAACAGCCAAAGCCGACGGACGGCCCGAGTGTGCTGCGGTCAGCAGCGGCTGCTGCGGGCGTATAAAGGTGCGCTAGCCGGGTGCGCGCCCAGCACACGCGAGGCGACCGCGGCGAATCGTCGGCGACCCGCTCGAGCCGCCGCCCTCGCACGTCCGCTGGGCGGCGTCCGCGCCGCTGCGGTTCCGTCCCGCTCCGACCATCTCATATGATCTGGACGTAGTGCAGGAACTGCTCCATCTCGGTGCTTGCCGCCTCGTCCGTGGCGCTGGTGTAGGTCTCCGAGATCCTGTGTACCTCAACAGTGCCGGCGTCCGTGCACACGGCCTGCGACAGGGACCGGTGACACCAGCGCGTCCGCAGGCCAGGCCGGCAGACACCGGCAGTCAAAACCTCCATACAGACGCTGGACAGTACAGATTGTATCACTACTTACATACAAAGTCAGACTGCCATGTTTTGGAGGGAGACGAGTTACCAACATTTAAAAAAAAAAACGTTTTCTTGCTGCCACAGCACTAACATTTTCACACAACGGGGCGAGTTTACTTCTCATTCTGTGCTCACCCCTCATTCCCGGCAGGCATCTCAACTGGCTAGCGCAACGACACTACCATCCCGCTGGCTTTCCCCCCGTCTACAGACGTCCTAAGTAAGCCCCTTGTATATCACTTGACCACTTGAAGCTGAATTAGCAAGCCTTGTGCCAGGCAAGCAATTAGCAAGCCTTTCCAAACATCACTTTAAGTCTATCCATGTTCATTCGCACTGTCCAACGTGTCATGGTGCGCGTCACATCACGAACATACATACTCAGATACAATGTACGGGACAGCAAAATAATCAGGCCGTTTGTGTTTGATTATTCAGAAGATGTTTTTTTTATAATCTGTAACATTTATTGGTGTATGCCACTGAGCTACAGAAACACCAATAATTTACCGCAGGTGTAAAGAGTAGTCTCCGATAAGATGGTGTGAGCAGTTTTTCCTCTCTCGCTCAAAGTATTTTGATTCCTTTCACTGTTAGCAAACCGCTTTCAACCGCCTTTTGGAAGGCTGGGCCGTCGTGACGGACCCCCGGTGGGGTACCCATTAGCCACGCGGAGCAGGGACTAACCAGCACGAAACACAACCTCGATTGTAGTGGAGGCAGCTGATGACACCCCACCGGCGTCCAAGTGGACCAATTTTAAGCGACAAAGTGACAGCCAAGCGAGAAATCTTCTTTAAATGACACACTGGTCGCGCCACCCGAGCATTTGCCGGGAGCCGACCGACGTCCGCTGGCCGCCGGCGCTCAACCTACCAGGTGGGTGACGGGCTTGTCGCCCTCCGCGCCGTAGCTGAGGTCCATGGCGGTGACCTGGCCCGACTTGACCTCGTCCGTCTCGGCCGGGAATATGTCGCCGGCGCTCAGGTCCCACACGTGGATCCTGCAGCATGGAGCACACGCACGGGTTGCTCGGCGTCGAGCCACGCGGCGACAGACGTCATCCCACCGCACCCACGGCCTGCCGCTGTTCGGTGGGATATGTGTGGGGTGATGTAACAATTGTACCGGAGACACCTGGGGAGACGAAGTCGCAATAATCCCCGCTGACGTAGTAGAAAGCTAATCGTCGCTAGCGCTGACAGGCCACGCGAGGCATGAGACAGCTTCCCTCGACATGAATGAAGCCAAGCGAGGGCTCCTTTTTCCACGCCCACATACGCAGCATGCCGGGTGGCGGACTGTGATGCAGTCGAGCGGCAGCGGGCTTTCCGCACGCGTGTCCCCGCTAACGGAGCCGGCGGCGCCAGCTGGGCACGGAGCAGCGCAGCCGCCGGCTCACTTTGAGTCGGCGTCGAGCACGAAGAAGACGCAGGGCCGCGAGCGAGACCAGCCGAGCGCCAGCACGGGCGCGCCGGCCGTCGCGTTGTTCCAGGTGATGAGGGGCCGGTCGCCCGAGGTGGTGTGCAGCCGCAGCGAGCCGTCCGCACCCGCCAGCCAGCAGGTACGGCTGGTCGAACGGGCAGAACGCCAGGCACTGCACCGGCACCGACAGGTCTGCAACACGGACGCCGTACGCTGCAGCACACGGGGGGCGGCAGGCGCCGGCAGGCCCAGCAGGAGCACGCTCGGCCGGGACACGCTGGTACGACGGCGGCAGAACACCCCGCATGACTCGGTGCCGCAGACCCTCCGGTGCAAGGAACAGCGGTACAAGGAATTGCTCAGCGTACGACTGACTGAAGAACTTACTGTACCTACTTACTCGCACAAGTGACTGAAGAATTCACTGCACTTACTACCTACATGACTGTGCTAGCCAGTTAGCCAGACGGAGTGCACCCTGCCATCCAGCGCTCCTGTCTCACCTATTTCTGGACGGAACATGCGCGGCGTAGCCCTGATGCCTTGGCGTGTACAGTGGATAATTGTGCCGCTGTCCGTGCTCACATATATGTGGCTAGGGTCGGTCGGGTGGATGCGGAAGTCGTGCACTTCCGTGAACGTCTTCTGGCTGCTCCTGTCGAACATCACTACCGTTGCCGAACGGAACTTAACACATATTTTAATTCGAGGTTCTTTTAATTTGAGTTAACTGCGCAGACAAACGTAGTTCAGAACGCACGCTGGCCCGATACTGGTACACGTTGACACACAAACAGAACAAGGACGAGAAACTACACCTCCTCTCCGCCAAACGCAAACAAATAGAATGTCAGTTTGACTAACGCATCCAGGAAGTCGTCGACGGTGACGTGGCTGATCTTGACCAGCTTGACCCTGCCCCAGGGCGCCATGCCAAGGTCGCCGTCCAGAACCTCGAGGTTGGCCTGCTGCCGCGCGCTCATTGCCACCCAGACGAGCCGGCCGGCCGCGTCCAGGCTACACATCTGCCAGCAACGCGCCCCACTCTCGTCCGAGCCGGTCAGGGAGTTCTATACCGACTGACACGCACCACACACGCCCCACTGTCAGTGTCCGAGCCGGTCAGAGAGGTCGGCACAGACCTCACAGCTGGGTCAGACAGGTCAGTATCGGCCGACACACCACCACACAGAGCAGCCACAGCGTCGGCAGCCGCGGCGTGTCACCGAGCCGCTCGGCAGGCTGTGCCCAGTGTGGGCTCTGCACACACGTCTGTCTCGGACCGGAGTGGTCACAGCTGACGCGCACCAGATCGGGTCAGTCTGCTGTCTGGCCGGATCCGCCCCGTTGCGACCGGCGGGTCATGTGCAGCCATGTCGTTCTCCGCCGAAGAGTCACAGTGCTGGTGGACAGAAGCAGTCCACCAGCACTGCGACTCTATCGACTCTCTTGACTCCATCACCACACTACGCACCTTGAAGCGGCTTGACACCGCACGTCCGCCGCCTGACGCGGTGGCCCGCCTTCGCGACCGCCGCCGCCGTACCTGGAACGAGCCGGGCTCGACGCCGGCCTCCTCGGCCTCGCCGCTGCCGACGGGCACCGGCCGCAGCGCCACCACCGGTCGGTGTGCGCCTCGGCCGGTGGATCTCGGCCGTGCTGTAGGTGGGCGAGCGAGCGCGGCGCCGGCGGCCGGCCGCCGCGGGCCCGTATGTCCGAGGCCGGCTCGTGCAGGTCCCACACGTCCAGCGAGCCGTCGGTGCACCTGGCCACGCGCTCAGTTAAGGTCTGTCCGAGCACCTGCCCACGTGTTCAGGTCAAGGTCCGTCAGCGCACTGTCCACGCGCTCAGGTTAGGCCGTTGGCCAGGCCAGATGTAAGGCAGGAGCCGGAGCCGGTCACGGCTAGACTGAATGTCAAGGGCGCAACGTTAAGGTCATAAGTCCATATGAAGGTCAAGAACTGCAAATCAAAGTCAAATATTACTGGTGACAGTTCACTTTTAACCCCTGACCCGAAACAGCCTTGGTGAATGTCAGGGGTCATGGGTACGGGTTATGGGCCAGATGTGTTAACAGGGGACCCGAGTAGGTCAGGTCAATGGTGGTCACGACTCAGGGGCGAAGGTCATGGGACAGGCATGATGACCAGAGGTCAGAGGAGTCAGACAAAGGCCAGGTGCCAGAGGTGGGGACTACGTGAGAGGTGAAGGTCAGGACTACCCGTGAGTGGCGTGGGGTCGGCGGTCATGCGGACAGGTCGGTACAGATGGGAGACGCAGACCATGCGACAGTCAACGAAAGGACACATAAGGTTGGCGCAGGGAATCGCTAAAATGAACTACATTATATAAATCCAGCGCACGCCAAGCCATCTGGCGGCGCCACCAAACATGTCAGAGACACCTCGCAGCAGAATGGGAAAATACAACAATACAACGACAAGGTCACGGATTCGACGAAATATAAACGAACCATTTAATCACAACGAGTTGCACTTGAATAATATTCAGGGTTACACTTTTACCGTTCCCCATCCCTTCCCGATCGTATTAAGTACACCGGTATGTGGTGGCCTCCCACTAAGATGGTGTGTCCAACTTGGTGCTAAACAAAACTGAACTAAACTGACTAACAGCGAAGTCCACCCCCTGACGCCGTCGAGTGGCGGACAACGCTCACCCGGCGAACGCCAGGCGAGGCTTGACGGGCGAGAAGCAGCAGCAGACCGGCTGGGAGGAGGTGATCAGCACCTTCTGCGGCTGCGACGGTCATTCACCGACCACACACATAGCAAGCCGTACTGGTCCACTCCCGGCTCCTGGGGAACGCAGGTTGATGATGAGTGTGGCCACTGAAAGGGCCGTACGCACATCACACGCTAATGCCCACTCACACACCCTCGGGAAGTGGAGCAGGCCACCGGTTTAAGGTTTGCGGGTAGATGAAGCCTTCGAAATAAAATGGACACTTGCAGAATGTGTGATGCTTTCAAAGGACATCAGGTTAGCTTCCCAATTCATCTGCGATGACAGCTTGCTGAACGAAAAATACAAGCCACCTCGTTAGTCCTAAGACTATGAAAAAACAGCCCGACTCGTACACGGCCCACACCGGCCGGCGCCCAACACCCGCCGCTTCGCGGGAGCTATCACCTCCGTGTCGGCGGACCCCTCGTCGTCCGTCTTCTGCGCCGTCTCCTCGTCCGGCTTGTCTGCCGTCTTCTGCGCCGCCGCGCGGCGGAGTCCCCACCGGCGGCCGCCCGTGCCCGGTGTGCCGTGACCAGCAGCTTGTTGTCCGTGTCGCAGAAGCTGAGGTGGGAGACCGACCGGCCGGCCAGCAGCTCCTTTATACCGTCCCCGAGCCGGACCGAGGCGCTGGTGAAGTTGAGGTGGCCAGCCGATGACTTGCTGTCCGGCTGGGCCGTGCGGGCCCGCTCCTCCTCCAACAGCATCAGCATACACTGCAGCCGAGGGTCAGCAGCGTCAGCATACGTTGTAGTGAAGGGTCAGCAGCATCAGCACACACAGCAGCCGAGGGTCAGGAGCCTTAGCAATGCAGCAGCGGATGGTCAGCAGCATCAGCATACACTGCAGCCAAGTGCCAGCAGCATCAGCACACACAGCAGCCGAGGGTCAGCAGCCTCAGCATACACTGCAGCCGAGTGTCAGCAGCATCAGCATACACTGCAGTGAAGCATCAGCAGCCTCGGCACACAACGCGGCTGAGATCTAGC